ACACAGGCAGCATCCGCTCACATCCTCCTCACTCAGTCCCAGCCCCGACATACTGGCTCTCACCTATATTTGCCACGTGAGAATCCTCCATGCCCAGAGACACATCATCATCAAATAAAGCAAGAAACCCACCAAAGGCCGGGCGCGGTGGCTCATGCCTGTAATCCCAGCATTTTGGGATCCGAGGCGGGTGGATCACCTGAAGTCAGGAGGATCCCAGCCTGGTCAACATGGCAAAACTCCATCTCTACTAAAAATACAAAAACTAGCCAGATGTGGTGGTGGGCCCCTGTAATCCCAGCTACTTGGGAGGGTAAGCAGGAGAATCGCTTGAATCCAGGAGGCGGAGGTTGCAGTGAGCTGAAATGCTGAGATCACGCAACTGCACTCCAGCCTGGGCGACAGAGTAAGACTCTGTCTCAAAAAAGAAAAGAAAAGAAAAGAAAAAAGAAAAAAGAAAAGAGAAGACCCACCAAAGTCATCCGGGCAGCAGAGGTCAGATCTGCAGGTTTCTGGCCAAGAACACTGCAGCTCTTGCCTAGACCTCAACATTACTTTCAGAAAGGGAATTAACGGGAAACTGGACCAGAGGGGTTGAGGCATTCTTTCAACAGGCAGGTACCGAGCCTCACCCTATGCAGGTGATGCGCCCTGTAGGGAGTTTGATGTGGCAGAGACTAAATCCAGGCGAGTGCAGTGGAGGAGTCATGGGCTCCCTGCCTCCACCCAGACCCCACTCCCAGGCAGGGGTTCCACTCAGTCACGGCAGGCCCAGAACACTGGGGCCCCAGTTGCTCTCACCATAGCTTGCCTGGAGGGTGAAAGTTACATGCTGGGAGAGGCGGTCTCAGAAGACCAAAGGCTACTGCCTCTGCCCAGTGCCCTATAGGAATATCACTCCCAGAGAAGTGGGCCACTGCTCCCATCCCCAGCTATACAGTTCTGAGTTTTGCTCAGGGGGAGAAGGAGGCCATAAGAAGAGTGTTCCCAGTGGGAAATACCTGATAGAAATCTGTTTTCTCTGCAATGACTTTTAAAATCCCTGGAGCAATGGGAGGAACCGTCACCATCTGCAGCTTGCCAAAAAAAGGGTTGTGTCCAGAGCTCTTGTAGCGTTTCATCTTGTCTTCAATGACAAGAGCCAGGGACTGGGAATGGTTTATCACTTCCAGCAGAGTGGAAATGGCCACGTTCTGGAGGTAGCAGTCAGTCACACAGCAGCAAATGGTCATAAGGGATTTCAGCCAAGATGGAAAACTGGAATCACCGGCTCCTGAAAGGAAGACCACGGGAGAGGCAGAAACAAGCAGAACCACGTGAGAATGGGTCCCCAGTCTGCAGATTCTACAGCTCCCTAGATCTGGGAAGTTACCTGAGAAATCCATCTGGACAGCAGTGCACTAACTTCCTGCTGGTGAGACTCATTTGAAAATAAGGTCTTTACAGAGGTAATCAAATTAAGATGAGGTCGTTAGGGTGGGCCTGATTAATCCAATACGACTGGTGTCCTTATAAGAGGCACATGTCAAGGGAAGACAGGACATACAGAGGACACCTTGTGAAGACAAAGGCAGAGACGGGACTGATGCAGCTGCAAGCTGAGGAGTCCCCTAAGGGTTGCCGGCCAGTACCAGAAGCTGAAGAGGCCAAAAAATATTCCACCTGGAGTCTCAGAGGAGGAGTGTGGCTTGGCTGACACCTTGATCTTGGACTTCTGGCTTCCAGAACTATGAGACAAATTTCTCAGTTTACTGTACTTTGTTAGGGAGCCCTAGCAAACCAATATACAAATACTGGCCAGGCCTGGTGGCTCACACCTGTAATCCCAGCACTTTGGGAGGCCAAGA